GTTGATCTACTGTTTCATTCCCTGCAATATTCTCCCACTGAGATATCACAAGCTGGTTCAGGTCCTATGAACAGCTGTTCAGATCCTGTTCTTCCCAGCTGATCTGCGGTTTCATTCTCAGCAATACCCTCATGGCCTGGCACCCATACCAGTTGAAGTCTGTTATGTCTGGCTAGTTGTGTGAGGGAAGGCACTTCCAGTACCTTATATAATTTTTGTTGTGTATTTTTTAACCTTTTTTGTTTCAGTGTTCTTTGTACCATTCCACATATTCTCTGGAATTTACTTACTGTAATGTTTATGTCTTCATTTAGGCCAGGCATGTCAAAGTCAGCTTGTACAGAGGGCCACCTCAGCCCTATAAATAATAGTCCAGGTTACGTCCATGATGTAACATGGGTGTCTGCACATACTGGTATAAGCCGCTTACATAACTGTATTAAACGTACATTCACGGAAAATCTCTTTTGGAATTTCGTTTCCATTATCTCATGTGGATTATTATGGGACCACATATGCACATTTTGTAAATTATTTACACCGTCCAGGGTAAAAGGCGCCTCATCACTAAATAAAATGATGCTTAACAGTTTGAGATGAGCTTTTATCCAGTGGCACAAATCCATACGCTGTGCATGGTTGCCTGGTTCCAGATGTTGTACCCTTTGATCATGGTAAGGATACAACTCTTCATCATGTAAAGTTTGCCACCCCTGCATACGTGATATGTCGACGCAAGAGGCCGTTCTACGAGTGGACAGATGCGGACTTCTCTGAATCATCTCAAGAATGTTTATCGTGTGTTTATCATTCGTACATCCTCCCTTTCAGAGTGCACAGAAACACTCGGAAGAGAACCAGTATCACACAATGTCTGGTGAATTCGCGTAAATACACTTCGACATGTAATCCTTCGATCGGGAAAACGCCTTTGGTATTCTTCAACAGCAGCACTTGCATTGCCACCGCAAAATCCACACACAAAATACGTATTACAGTATTCCATGTTTGAAAACACAAAAGGCATTTCAGCAACTCCGCACAATTAACCTCCCACCCATTCAACACGGGGCCGCAACGTATACTGAAGGGAACTTGCGGCTAGTGTGAATCACCACACTCAAGGACAAACATAGATAAGACTTGTCAGCTGATAGGTACAGTGCGTGGACTCGCCAGAAGACCAGGAGGAATGTGCCAAACTTCGGGAGGGTGTTGCTTATCTTAAAGTATGCCGATATAACCCAAAACACCTATGTCCAAAGTTGAACGGTTACGGAGATAATGGCCTGAGAAAAGTGTGGTCTTCTGGCGGGTCCACACACTGTACCTATCAGCTGACAAGTCTTATCTATGTTTGTCCTTAAGTATGGTGATGTACACTAGCCGTAAGCTTATGTGGTACCTTCAGTGTACGTTGCAGCTGCGTTATGAATGGTTGGTAAATTAGGTGTGTGGAATTGCTGAAATACCTTTTGTATTTTCACACGTGGAATATTGTGATATGCATTTTGTGTATGGATTTTGCAGTGGCAATGCACGTGCTGCTGTTGAAGAATACCAAAAGCATTTTCCCGATTGAGGGATTCCATCTCGAAGTGTATTTAAGCGAATTTACCAGACATTGCATGATACTGGTTCTCTTCTGAATGTTCCTGTGCACTCTGAAAGGGAGGATGTATGAATGAGAAACACACGAGAGAACATTCTTGAGATGGTTCAGAGAAGTCCATGTCTGTCCACTTGTAGAATTGCCTCTCACATTGGCGTATCACGTATGCAGGTGTGGCAAACTTTACATAATGAAGAGTTGTATCCTTACCATGATTAAAGGGTACAACATCTGGAACCAGGCGACCATGCTCAGCGTATGGATTTCTGCCATTGGATAAAAGCTCATCCCAAACTGTTAAGTGTCATTTTATTCAATGATGAGGCGTCTTTTACCCAGGACAGTGTACTTTAGTAGTTATGTAGTCAGCTTATACCAGAATGCACAGTCAGCCATGTTATGTCAGCGCTTGCCACATGTGTCATGTATAGTGCTTGGAAACCTAAGGACAACTATGACATGATGTGCGAGTTTTTTGTAGTTCAATTTAATGGCTTCATGTCACTCACAAGTTAGTTTGATGTTACGTACATTATTAACATTACAGAAACACACATTCCTGTCAGTTTAATATGTATTTAGTAATCAACAAGTGTGTAACACCTGTCAAAGTTTGACACTTCTCTGGCCATTATTTCCATAACCGTTCAACTTTGGACATAGGTGTTTCGGGTTATATAGGCATACTTTAACATAAAGAACGCCCTCACGAAGTCTGGCAGATTCCTCTTGGGACACTCTGTGTGTATATATATAGTCACGTGTTGAGTATGTAACGCAACAAATAACTTCACGCTGTCTTGGACATAGCGAATTTATTCTACATTCGCTCTTACATTTACACAATTCACAGTTTCACAACTACTGCCATCTGCAGTATCTCAATTACATCTCCTGTAGTCATTTCCATTCACTCGATAGAACTCAATAACAATGGACTTCACCTCATACTGGATACTAGTAACTCACTCAATACTCCCTACACAATCCTTATGTAGCTTTCGCACTGACAACACAGAAAACAGTTACGTGATAGCTACCACTGTTACATAACGTCGTGTTTACAGGCATTGCTGGGGAACGCTGCCGAGAGTTGTTTATTGCTGCATAGTAACCGCGGTATCCCCTGTTACGTCACTGGGGGGAGGGGTGTTAACCAAGCATTGCGTAATAATGGAAGGAGTGGGGTATGTGACTTCACTTGCAGAAACGCATAGTTCACGTGACCCCTACTTCCTGTTGCTCCACTCACGTCACAATATATATGTATACATATGTAGGCGAGTCAAATAAAAACATTAAATATTTTTTGAGTATCATTTATTGTGCACAAGTGGTACAAGGTTGTATCACTTCTCAACATAATCCCCCCATGCTCAATGCAAGTCCTCCAGCGCTTACAAAGTGCATGAATTGCTTTAGAAAAAAATTCTTTTGGTAGTCCGCACAACCACTCATGCACTACGTGGTGTACCTCTTCATCAGAATGGAACGTCTTTCCTCCCATTGCTTCTTTGAGTGGTCCAAACATATGGAAATCACTTGGGGCAAGGTCTGGTGAGTATACCAGATGAGGAAGACACTCAAAATGCAGGTCATTGATTGTCGCAACTGTTGAATGGGCAGTATGGGGCCTTGGATTGTCATGTTGCAAAAGGATACCTGTGGACAGCAATCCACGTTGCTTTGATTTGATTGCAGGCCAAAGATGATTTTTTAGGAGATCTGAGTATGATGCACTGGTGGCAGTGGTCCCTGTAGGCGTGTAGTGCTCCAAGGTGACGCCTTTTTCATCCCAAAAGAGAGTCCCTGCTGATGGTTGTGTTTGAAACTTCTTCGGTTTTGGAGATGAGGAATGGCACCATTCCTTGCTCGCTCTCTTCGTTTCCGGTTGGTGGAAGTGAACCCAGGTTTTGTCCCCAGTAACGATTCTTGCAAGGAAGTCATCACCTTCTTCTTCAAAGTGCCGCAGAAGTTCTTCACAAGCATCAATACGTCATTCTTTCAATTCAGGAGTCAGCTGCCATGGCACCCATCTTGCAGACACTTTGTGAAACTGGAGCACATCGTGCACAATGTGGTGTGCTGAACCATGACTAATGTTTAAACTTGCTGCAGTTTCATTCAGTGTCACTTGGCGGTTTTCCCTCAGTATGGCTTCAACTGCTGCAGTGATCTCTGGAGTCACATCTCGATGTACCTGACCCTGACGAGGAGCATCTTCCACTGAAGTCACACCATTTGCAAACTTCCTACTCCATTCATACACTTGCTGCTGTGACAAACATGCATCATCATACTGAAACTTCATTCTTCGATGAATTTCAATAGGTTTCACACCTTCACTACACAAAAACCGAATAACAGAACGCTGTTCTTCCCTGGTGCAAGTCTCAAGTGGGGCAGCCATCTTATACTGGTGCTGTGACGGTGTTTGTGCATCTGCACTATGCTGCAACCTACAGGCCATTCTGCATGCTGTTTGTAGCATGCTTACCAACTTACAGGATAATAGCGTGAAATTTCGATTTTTTATTACAAATTTAAGGTTTTCATTTGACTCGCCCTCGTACATATGTATGACCTGGCTGATGTGGAACATGGTTACTCAGAAACCATAAAAAGTGGAGATGTGGACTAACCCTGCCCATTCTTGTTTCCTGGGCATTAAAGTGTGAGGGCAGTTTCTGACACCTCTGTTTCATCATTCCAATTGATCCAGATGCCCCCCCCCCAAAGTAATCCCCTTCCATCTTACCCTGCATAAATAACCTGACACAGTGTGACTTTTCGAATCTGAAAATGGAGACAGCATATTTCACCACATTGTTGGCACTCAATCACAAGACTAGATGGGGATTATAATTTTTTTGACATTTTTGTTTCTTAATGTTACAGCATTCAGATCTGTTCCACTGCATATATTTTCATGATATTTATGTATGTATAGTTCATACCTATAATTCTGCAGTAGACAGTTGTGTTGGTTGTAACTGTATATTCGATGAAACAGCATCACATGAGTAAGATTTGAGGCTTTCACGGCGGTGACTATCATGATGTTAAAAATATAGTGTGGTAAAACATCTCACCCTTTAACAGTTACATTTCTCACGAATAAATTAACACTCATGTTGAGTTTCAGTCAGTAAGAGTTGCAGTATCTGGCATTCCTATCAGGTCTGTCACTGAGAATTAACCCTTAGCTGTTAGCTACATTATACAGTTAGATAATTAGTTACCATGCATTTGTAGCTGCTTATCTCAGTATGCATGGGAGAACCGAAATGTTGACAGGAGACACACCATATGCTGATGCAGAGATTCGTAATTGTGACCCAGGAAGAGTTAATGAATGATACTGTGATACTGCTTTTTTTCTCTGTAGGACATCTTCTTACCATCATCATCATACTTGTCCAATGGTTCTTCTGAGCAGGTTACAGGTAATCTGTCAGTTGATGAAGTTGATGGACATCTTACTGGCTCTACAGATGTTTTAAGAACTCGAGCTGCTATTGAACACATGCAATTCAAAATTGGTCGCACAAGAGACTTAATCCGCGGGGAACAGACAACAAGAGATGGTATGTTTTATAGAAATTTACTTATTTTTGCAGTATGACATTAGGAGAAATATTCCCTGTGAAAAATACCGTATATTTTCTTTGTTGCAGATAATGTAAATGAATATTTGAAACTGGCAGCAAATGCAGACAAGCAGCAGCTGCAGCGAATTAAGGCAGTGTTTGAAAAGAAAAACCAAAAATCTGCACAGTCCATTTCTCAACTACAGAAGAAATTAGAGAGTTATAACAAGAAATTAAGGGATTTAGAAATGCATGGATTACCAAGTAGCCATCGCCAGCCCCGAGAAGTGCTGAGAGACATGGGTCAGGGGCTTAAGTGAGTTTATCCATGTGCTTTTTGGGTTCAGTTTGTCTTCTTGTGCTGTGTAATGGTTGAGTGGTTGCTTTCTTCATGATCATTGTAATTTGTATGTTTGTGGAATATGGAAGAGCTTCTTGTGTTGTTTCCAGAAATGTTGGTGGCAACATCAGAGATGGAATTACAGGCTTGTCAGGGTATGTGCTATTGTGCTTTACATATGATCTGTTTGTCCTGCTGCAATGGACCGTTTATAAGAGCTGACTTCTTTTTCAGGACTGTTATGTCAAAACCAAGAGAATTCGCACATCTTATTAAGAACAAATTTGGAAGTGCAGACAACATCAATACTTTAGCAAGTAAGAAAATTTTCCTCCACTTCTTGATGCTGCATCTCATTTTTAGCCTTTTTCTTCTTTACTGTAGATGTGTTATGATCCCTTATTCAGACAAGGGGTGGGATTCCTTTGATGCAACTGAGGACACAGAAGAACCTGTGTTTAGAGAGGGATTCATTAATAAAAATAAGAAAGCCAATTTGAAACACGAAGAAATTCAAAATAACCAAGTGATGTAGGAAAGCTAATCTATATATGAGATTTCAGCTTCCCATTTTGGTGAATGTTAACACTATGGTAGTGTGGAATGTGATGCTGTGTAGTTTGGTAGATGGATAACAATGCTTTTGAGGAGCCTGTTTGCTCTGTCTTCAGGATAGAAGAGTGAGCTGAATGCAGAAAATTTTACATGATACAGGAAAGGGATGTAGCAGGTTGGTATGAAACATATGTACCTGTAAACAAAACTACGTAACATCACATCCGAGAGCACTGTAAAACTAACTTGTGTAATCTACAGTGAAACTGATAAATTTCACCACCATTTTTGGGAGGTTATTCTGAGCAGAAAATCTCAAATCATGGGTCAATTCATCTTTGTTATCGTGATATTGTCTGAAATGAATATTTGCCTTAGTTATATGGTGTTATCGACTAAAATGCCCAATATGATTGCAATGAGCAATCTGCCACTTCATTTTTTTGTTTGTTTACTGACCAGAGGTGGAGAAAACATGGGTGTACAGTATTCATACTACCTGATTGACATTTAATGTCTGTTTAATGAAATTTTACATTACACTACCATCACTTTCACATGTGCTCTTCAAAATGTCCCCCTTGTTCCTGTACACATGCTACAAGGCTTTTCTACAATGAGTGCATCCACTGCATGCTGACCATTTCATTTCTGATGCTAGCAGCAGCTTCATTTATTCTTTGCATCAGCTGCTCTCGTATGTCTGGCTTTCCATTCAAGTACACCCTGGATTTTGTGCAGCCCTATGCGATGAAGTCAAATGGAGATAGGTCAGGTGACCAAGGGGGCCATGACACAGGCCCACCTCTTCCCAACCATCAATCAGCAAAATGTTCATTGAGCAATGCTGTTACCTCTCTGGTAGCATGAGGAGGAGTTCCATCATGCTGCAACCACAAGCGGTTTTGTATTGCTAGCAGAACATCATATAAATACAGGGGTAGGTGACTTTGCAGATGACCCTTGAAGAAATGTGGCCTAATCACATAATTGCCTAGTAATCCACACCACACATTTACAGAATATCTGTGTTCGTAACTACATACTCTTATGTTTCGTGGATTTTGATATGCCCAAGTATGCAAAGTTCTTGTGTTATATATGCCATCACAGGTGAATGTATCTTCATCTGTGAATAAGATGTGTGGAAGAAAATCCAAATTTGCCTGAAGCCATTCATGAAACTCCACATGAGGTGCATAGTCTTGAGGCAAGAGGTGTTTGACACTCAGTAGGTGGTATGGTTAAAGACCATCAGAATGTAATATTCTTCATACTTGAGTAGGTGGAAGTTTATTTTAAGTTTAATATTATTGTATTTATATATGTTGTTTACTTGACTAGCATTTATAATTTTCAGTGAATGCATCCTGTTTGTATTATATATTTATAACTAGGAACAATATCAAACACTTACTGAGAATATATGAAAACATGAATGATAAGTTTAACTTAAGTGGAGTTTACCAACTTCAATGTTGCAGAGTGTCCACAGATAAATATAGGACAAACTGGTCAACCATTTAAAATCAGATTTAAAGAACACGTAAGAGACATAAAGAATGGTGGACAAAATTCCAAATTCGCCCAACATATAGTGGACACTGTACACAAATACTGAACAATAGATCAGACTATGGAAATCTTGTACATTGGAAAGAAAGGACGAATGTTGGATACTCATGAAAGATTTCATATATATGAAATCAGCAAGAAAACTTTCAGTTGAATGACAGTTTCACCGAAACATTTAACCCAATATACTACACGATAATCGCAGCCTATATGACACAATAATCGCAGCCTACCAAGCATAAACAACAACTTTACCCCCATCCTACATCCACTACACCCCTACCTCCCCCCCTCACCTACACAGTACTCCATAACAACATACATCCCAAATCAGTTGTAATCCATCTCCTCACCAGATCAGACATATACACATAAATAGAGGGGCTCGTTAAATAGTAAGTATATATTTATATTTATTTATTTACTGCAGTTGGGCTTATGCCTGGTGGTGACTATATAACTACAATACTTCAGTCTACACTACATGCAACCACTGAGAATATTCACTAATTTTTATCACTGGTATATTATTTCCAGGGAATCAAAATTAAGTAGTAACGTACAATATAGCAACAGACCTCTGAGCACCATAACATCCATCTGTGTATACAACATGTCCGCATAAGTACCACCACATATTACAATTCCAACTATGTACTTTGAATATATATGGACAAATACCGTCTTAAGTGCAACAATTTTATTGTAGTTTTTACTTCTTTTTCCTCCTCCACACTACATGTTTCGGCCCTAAATGGCCATCATCAGGTGTGTATCACTCACGTAACTGTTACACTGCTTGTTAAAAATGTAAAAATCCCAGTCTTTCTAATTGTATAAAATCTTTGTTAATCTACACGCGTCGATTTGATTTTTAAATTAGCACTTTTTAAACCTTAATTCAAGTTAAAATGTCTATAAGATCTTTGTTCTCTTTCTTTTTCAAATTAAAATTTTTCAGGGTACATGCCCTATATCTACGGTGCTGCAGCGGCCACTTCTTGTTTTTATCGCTGTTC